TTGTTTCAGTTTTCTATCTTTTTATACCCATCACCGAAGGATGAGGCGTATATTCGTTTAGTCACAACGTCTGCAACTCTCAGAAGGAAGCTTCAGAGACTCCACAAATTCTGAAACGGTTTAATCATGTCCGTCTGTCTATCTGTCTGTGTAATGTCCTTCTCCTAGCTGTAAAAATAAAGCTATGAACTTTAAATTTGGCAGAAACATTGGAAGTTTTTGTACGCAGGTTGGTATTGAAAATATGTCGAAATTGGTGGAAACATAAGCCCCACGTAAATTGAGGACACTTCGGCTTTTTAAAAGGAATACCAAATAGGCTTTTTGTTCATTACTCATAAGCTATACCGTATAAATGTACAAAAGTTTGAACACATACTCTATGGGGGATGCTGTAGTACCAGTGCAAAAATGGAAACAAATTGAACCCAATGTTATAGCATATGAAATTTTAATTTTTTTTCAATATCTTTAAAAGACGCAGAAAGACACTTCAAGAACTCCATGAAGTATGCAAATTCTTGGCCAGTTGCAACTATTCAATGCACCTAAATATGTCCGCCCGTTCACCTGTCCATCTATCTAGTATCTTTGATGAATATTCTTTCGCCTACAAAGAATAATCCAAATCGTGTTTTCTACTTGTAGAAAAAATCAACCACGGCCATGCAACATTCCAGTGTATGAAAATTGAGTTCTTTTCCTTTGATGATGGATATAAAAGATTCGGTCACGATGAAATATAAGTTTTTTAATTGCTTTATCTCACTTCACTTCTTCTTGACTAGAAATCTCTGCATTTGTATTCTATATGTTTACAAATATTCCTAACACGTGGGCAAGACAAAGCAGAATAATAAACACACGGCTTGATCCGGGGTCGTAAGATCATCAGAAATATGTGCATGCTGCGATTTGCCCTGAAAGCAAATTTATTGGTGTTACTCGCCGCATCGCTAAGTTATGGGTATAAAATTTCAAAGAAGTCCTTTGGAAAATATTGTCAAAAACAAAATAAATAAAATTAAAAGAGATTTTCTTTGTAATTTTCATCATTTGTGTTAACATCACACGAGATACTGAGATACTTTATAATATTTATTAAAATATTTCTATTTAAATCATTTAAAATCTTTCGTTTTTTTTTTTTTGCTTTTGCTTTTTTTTTTTTTTTAACAATCACTGACATGATTATTTTTAATTAATGATATTATTTTTAGTGTTATAATAAATACTTTTGTCTATTTTTGTAGCTTTTTGATTGGACACAGTTTTTTCCTTTCTTCGATACATTACTATTATAATTATTATTATTATTACTGTTTTTAATAATATTTTGGAAATATATTTTACGTAATATTGACTTGTTTATGAAACACATTCAAGTTTAAAGTTTTGTTAAGTTCTATGAAGAGAAGCTTTATGTGTTGTGATATATGATAAAATCCAATCCTTTTTTATTTTTTTTTTTGTTTTTTCGTCTTATCTCACATTCTTTTAGGCCTACAGCACTTTTATTCAGACAAGAATCTATTGTTGTATAATGAGTTTAAAGCGGTAAAATTACGTTTAATTTATATTTACAAAATGAATATGTGGTTGTTGTTTTTTGTTGCTTTTTAAGGTGGATTTACAAATTTTTTTTTTTGTTTTTTTTTTTTTTTTTTTTAATTTTTTTTCATATTTAGATATTAACATACTTAAAATTAATAAATATTGTAATAAGTGTTTGTTGTTTGTGTGTTTACAAATACATTGGCAACGTTTTCGTTTCTTTCTTCTTTATTTATTTTTATTAACATTATAATCCGATTAAAAATTGTTAATTTTTCTATGATTTTTTTTTTATTTTATTAAGTATAATTTTGTTTTTTCTCTTTTTTTTTTTAGCAAAATTGCATTGTGGTTACAACCAATTCGTTGGTGATAAAGCATTCAATTATAAAAGTTTATAAACATTTCAAATGTGTTTATATATATTTTGTCTTGTCAGACTGTGTAGTTTTTTATGCATTTCTTATTGCTTTTATGATAAGGTATAAAGCAATAGTCACCAAAATCGAGTAAATGCTAATGCACGTAGCGCGTTTTCGAATTTTTAAGAACGACATTACTTCTGTACACACCTGTGAGCGTAATATATAGTATGGAGTAGTAGATTATATTTCACGCAGTAATAAATTTATACTAAGAAGATTTTTTTTGATTCTTATTTAAGCAAAATATTCGGCTCGACGCCTGAGCGATCTTTACAAACGGCAAGACTGAACAACCTACTCTTGGTTACACCATATTAATGTCGTCACAAGAGACCTATTTCTGACCCAAGGAATGCTATAGACATTTCAAATCTTCTTCTTTTTTTTTTTTTTTTTTTTTTTTTTGAGTAGTAAGGATACAGATATGCTTTAGTTTAATTTCTTGAAACACCAGTAAATAAATATATTTCCGAGTTTCGGATTTTAGTAGTGAAGTAAGTAAATTGGAAGTTCTTTTAAAACGATTTGTTTTCGGGATGGAAAGCCCTGAACAATGATTAACATTTACTTGATAGTGCTCGATACCGTGATTAATTTGTTTTCTCTTTTGTGAGTTTTTCCAAGATTTTCTTTAGGGGGGCGACCAATAAAAGCGTCAAGAGATGCGAGGATATTGCGAATATAAAAACGGCAATTTGTCGTGAAGGCGATAATTAAAATAAAATTTATAAAAATTTGATAAGAGATTTCCGGGTCGCAGATATGAAAAAATTTCTTTAAATTTTTTAAGATCATTGGAAAGCAAAGAATTTCTCAAAATTTTAATTGATTTTTTTTTGTTTTACACAAAAGTTTTGATATTAAATAAAATATATTTGATGTAAAATTTGTGAAAAATGTTGTGAAAGCATTATAACATGCAAGCGAAAATCTTCTGGCCCATGGCGGCCATATAAAACATATAAATAAACACATTGTTGGGTGGTTGACGATAAAATAGTATACACCTAGGCATACTTAACAAAATACATCCAAACGGTAATACATTTCATGTAAAAAAAAAAAGAAGCACTAACTAAGTATACTAATATAATAAATTTGAAGGATGCACATAAGATACAAAATAGAAATCTTAATAATCATTAACTGTCACACTTCTTTTTTTTTTTTAATTGCAAGCAAACCGAGGAATCGATGTGGCGGATTTTTTTACTTAATCTTACTTACGGAACATAATTTAATAACAGGAAAAAAAAATGTATGTGTTTGACAGTCTAGAGAATATTTTGTAGCAATCATAATTCAAAACATTTCGATGCCTTTTATTGAATGTTAACAAATTTTATATAACCGCTCTTTGGAAGGTGTCAAAATGTCAGTTGCTTGGGAGAATTTTCAACTTTTTTCACTGTTTTATACAAAAGAAATTTCTTGTTATCGAATGTTTACACAAAATTGAGCTAAATTAAAAAAAAATATATATGCTATTTTATTTTCTCATAATCTTACATTTCTAAAAACAACGTTATAATATAAAATATTAATTTACTAAAATTTGAACTTTTTCAAAAACAAATTAAAACAAGGTAAGTAAGAAAAGTATAATCGCTTTTCGCGAACTGTTGATATTAACCAACTGGATCATAAAACTAGAAGTTTCTCCGCAGTTGATCAGTTGGTCGATCGCCACTTTTTTTTTTAAATTGATCATATAAATCTCTTATCTTACGAAACATTTGCATTACCTTTTTATTTAATGATAAAGGGAAGATCGGACGGAAGGCAAAATGGGCTTGGAATTTTACGCTAATCAATGACATATAAGTGATGCATATTTCCGGTGGCTAGAAATTGAAGAATAAGTCTCAAGAGACATTTTTCCGTAGTGAGTACAATAAGATAAAAAGCTTCCTGTGCATTACTAGCCTATATTTTAGTTCATACTTAGCAATCGTACGTTTGTCTGTCCATTTCCTTTTTGACATACATCAAATGTGAACAAATCCTTCGCAAAATTCTTGCGAAAGATAAAATAAAAAGCGACGAAAAATAGTAAAGATGGGTTTAGCCAATCAATTAATATGAGTAAGAGTAGTTACAATAGAAAGACTTTTGACTTAAGAAGGTCCTATAAACAATATTAACATGCCTGGCAATGTTGCATATGATTTATGTAAAAATTTTAATTCTTCTCTTTATTAAACATGTCTCAGCACTCACAAGCCTTAATATGTGCTTTTACTTACAAAAAAAAAAAAAAAAATGCATTTATAATCCGATAATATCGATGAACAGGTGGCAGACAATACCAACAACTTAAACTTTTTTAGCTCATATTGTCTCTTAGTCCCTTCATTCATTCTACTATTTTAAATTTACTATTTTCCTTTAGAAAATTTACCAGTTCATTGTTGTTTGTTGTCTAATAAGTTTAAGGAAATGAAAGAAATGTTGAAAAGCCACGTGCACGACTGCTTTGTTACTTCTTGTCATTTAACAGAAATGTGCACGGCAGCTTTGTTACTTTTCCTCATTTAACATAGATATGCACGACTGCTTTGTTATTTTTTCTCGTTTAACAGATGAGAGAGATTTTTTATTCACCATTTTTCTTATTTATTAAAAGCAACTCTGTGGTCTCTCCATTCTCCACACATGATATTTTTTTTAAAATGGTGTAAAGGAAAAAACCAGCTAACGGCTTTCTGTTCACAAGTGGAAGAAAAAGGTTATGCAAATTCCAAAATTCTTAAATAATACAAAAGATATAAAAAAAAAAATTGGAAAAAATCTGCATTAAATCAAAGATTTGCGTAATGTTTAACAAGTTATTGTAGAGGACGTACTCTCTCTCTGCGGGTTGCGGGTGCCATAATTAAGTTAGTGTTAAGCTGACGATGGGTTTAGATTATCTCAGCTGAAAGCAGTCGGACAAATTTCAAATTTTTTTTAAAAACGATAACGCGGCTTCCGTTCTTGAGAGTCACTTGTTCTTTCCCTTATCGAGACGCCCGGTTTTGATTTGTTTTTTTTTTTTTGCCCTTGCATGGGTAGCCTAGCGGCAACCAGATAGTGACAATAACAAAGGTTAGGTGAAATGTAATGAAATTGAAAGTAAAAAGTCTATCTTGAATATATTAAGTTTCTTAAAGCCACAGCAAAATCAAGTGTCAATAAAAACTATTTAAGTCATAGCCAACGTTTGCGTTGATGCATATTGCAAATGATCTCATAATGCAGTCGCATTAAATTCTAAAATTAAGCTTCCGACACCATTAACAGAGCTTAACGTGTGGCCATTAATAAGACGCTGTGGTTGCTGCGCTAATGGTAGAGTAGTCTGCTGTTGTTCCACGTTTGCCGTAGTAGTTGTGGCGGTAGAACAGGTGGTATTATGTTGTCAAGATGACATAATGGATTTGACGGCGTCGTCTATGCCACTCACCACGCAACTGAAATCATTTATTTGGTTATGTTGCGTATTTATTGCGGCTGCTGCTGCTGCTGCCGCTGCTGCAGTTGCTGTTGTGACGGCCGCCACTGTTCCATTATTGTTCATATGATGTGAATGATGCATGGCTTGACCATGATGTGCATTGTTGTGGGTCATAAGTTGGGCGTGATTAGCCGAGGTATCCATTAGCATTGCATTATCTACAACGTTACTGGTGGGAGCACCATTAGCATTAACCATTAAACAATCAGTCAATTCGTCGACTAATTGCCGTCTTTTGGCTAATTCTTGACAACTGCTTTGGCCGTTTGTTGACTGGCGATCGTCGAGGATGCTATCACTTAGAAACGATCCCATAGAATGGTCCAAAGAGAAGGGCAGGGAGTCCGATTCAGTACTTTGCAAATTTAAAATACTATCTATAGCGTTTTGTACATGACGCGTAATATCATCATCGAATTCGCCTCCAGATCCCGTGGCATTATTATGATTGTTAGCTTGATGTTGAGATTGATGATGATTAATATGAAGCATATGATTGTTAAGATCTTGTGGTGTTATATTATGATGGGTTACATTGGTGCTAACATAATGATTCTGTTGACCGTTTGCATTCAGGTGGTTATTATATGATCCAAAATGATTTTGATGAGACATGATATGCGAGAAACCATTTGCATCTGTGGCGGTATCGGTGGCAGTGTTTTCGACACCCAATCCATCATGAAGGGAAAGTAAAGCTGCCTCCATGAGATCTTGCGCATGGGAGGTATCCGTTGGCAAGGAGTTATTGTGCGGCGGATGCGTTGAAACTTGCGGAAGTGGTGAAGACGAATTAGATGAGCTAGAAGTCAAGCCGTTCACATTGGTACATAGTTTTTTGTGGGCGTTGTTCTCATCAGTCCGCATATCGGACGATTCATTTCCCATCACATGACCATTCCATGACCGTTTTCGACCAGCTGCCACCAGACAATCGGAACTGGAACTATTGATATTTGTTGTGTTATTAGTAGACATAAAATCTGACAATTGGGCTTCCATATTCTGCATCCATCTAGCATTGTTGGCGCTATTAACTTGCTGTTGCATATGATGGGCGTTCATAAAACTTGCAGGAGCAGATGGTTGCTGCGGCTGTTCTTGCTGCGGTTGAGGCTGTCCTATATATGAGTTTCCACCTATGTCTTGATCCCAGGTAGTGGTTTTGTGCTTGTTACCACAATGAGTGGGTGATTTTACAGATTCTCCAAATATGGATTCCAAGCCGGATTCTATATCATCTGAATTATCGACACTGCTACTTTTGCTGCCGCTTATATGCACCGGAGAGCCACTAAACATGGCTTCCAGTCGCGATTCTACGGATTTATGAATTTCGCTATCCTCGGAACCACTAAAGAATTCATTCAAATCTGTTTGATGATTTTCTGATTGCGTCATATGATGTGCGGTGGGCTGTTGATTTTGTTGGCTGCAGCTACTTGTTGTTGTGTTGGTGGGTGGTGAGGCTTGGGTAGTGTTTTTATTCTCGTTGCCTTTATTAATGCAGCCATTCGGAAAAAGATCTGTTGGCGATGAGTCGGTTAGAAAATCTAACTCTTTCGTTACCGGTCCCACCATGTCATTTCGATTTTGGTGATTACTTGTATTATGCTGAGTGGGTACATCAGTCACTTTGGTAGGAGCGTTGGTGACTTCGTTATTCATTAAATTCAATTCCTTTTGTATACACAACCAATCATCGTCATGCTGTCTACACGAAGAGTTTTGAGCATTGCTTGTGTTTACATGATTTGAGAAAGCAAAATGATTAGACGTAGCTATTTGCGTCGAGCAAACTTGTAAAGACTTTTGACAAGGTATTAAATTCTGTGATGTCTGTTCTGGTACATAATTACTATTACGGTCCTCTTCTTCTGGAGTATCTTTAGAACTGTTGCAATTCGTTTTTTCGTCGGGTACTACGGTTGATGATTGTTGTTCGGTGGCTGGTGATGCGAGCGGCTTAATCGAAGCTTTCGGTTCAACTTTTTTCATTATAAAACTTGGTGTTATCTCACTTTCAATATCGAAATTTTCAAACTCCTCTTTTACCGGCGGCTTAATTTCTTGGGAGGGTAATGGTTTCTTGAGGGAACCATTATATAATGGATATACTGGTTTTGGCATCGAATTAATAGAACTGGCGAGATGACTGTAATAGGTATTTCCAGATGTCTTGCCTGATTCTAAGAATGATTGATTCCAATTGTTGAATATATCCTCCTTTTTAGCTGCCTTCGTAAGCGGCATTTGATTTGGAGCTGATTGGTGTTGTTGTTGTTGTTGCTGTTGTTGCTGTTGTTGTTGTTTAATATTTACGATTCCTGGTGCTTTTTGGGCATCAAAAGAATCAAGAAAACTATTAGAACTTTTATTTGCGCTCTGCGAACATTGAGAATTTGACGATTCGGTTTTGATTTCATTTTTAATTGAATCAAACGTTGACTCTGATACTAGTGACGATGACGTTGACTGTTGGCTGTGATTAGTAAAATTGCTATTACTGTCTGTCCCATTAACAGTTATATCTAAAATGGATTTATTTTCCGTTGGTTCTGGTTTCGGTTCATTTTTGACTTGCTCAAATCCAATTGAGGAACTTTGATTTTGATATTGTGCTGGTGGTTCATTTTTAATATATTCAATTTGCTGCTGCTCATATACTTTAAGCTCTTTTTCTAAGCGACGTGACTCTTCGATTTCTTGTCGCAAATCTTCTATCATTAATTGTTCCATTTGACACAATTCCGAAGTACGATGAGGTAACTGAAATAGCAGGCAAGAATTACTAATGTACTTATATTTCTTCACTTTTCCGCCCTTTTTTTTTTATCTTACCATTGATTCTTGTAGCAAAATTTCCTGAAATTTCCCAGAGAGTAAACGAAATTTATCCTGAAACCTTTGAGCAGTACGTTCAAATTCTTCTTCTTCTTCAATTGGTATATCTTCGTCAGTTTGATAAAAACAATGATATCTGAACGACAAAAATTATAAAGAAAAAGTCCATTCTCATCTATTGTAAGATGCAAAAATTTACCTTATTAATTTCTTAACAGTTTCTTCTTTAGTTTGAAATGGATTTTTATAGTCAGGTTTTAAGCAACTCCTTTGATCCACTTCCAATTGTTGTAAAAACCTAAATTGGGTAAGACATTTTAAATTATACGCAACGATAAATGCAAGTAAAATGAATAATAAACAATTAATGTCGTGCATTGAAAAGGTTTTCTAATTTCAATTCCGATCTGTTAAAGACCGTGACCATCTCTAGAATATTTGCACTTTTCTAATTTTCCGTTTCCAACGAGGCAACATTTCGTCATGAAAAATTGTAAACTTCAACAATCTTTACAAACTATCAGGAAGACCCTACCCCGTCCCTAATTGCGATTGTTTTAATTGCTTCAAAAAATCAAATCAAAACAAGTCGCACATATTACATGAGGAGTAGTAAAGCCGACTATAGGGGAGGGAGTATTGAATTTAGGGACGATTAGACAATTCGTCTCATAAACAAAATCGTATTCATCACAAGAGACAAGCTTGTTCGTAAGATTGGATTGGTTGGTTTCAATATGGCAATGCGATACAATGAACAATAGCTATATTCTCTAAAATGTGTACTAATCGCCGCTTACGGTGCTGAGTATAAATCATCATATGTTTTTTGCCCTGTAAAAGTTCCAAATCAAATTATTATTAAAGTCTATCTTATTCAATGATAGATATCCTGTCTTTTTCATTCTCATTTCATATCTATGGAGGAGTTAAGAAAAATGAAAAGGCATTATGTAATTTTTAGTATGAGACGTGCACATTAAATCGTAAACTTCAAATTTTCATTCAGCAATATCAGCAATAAGGCATTGGATTAGCTTATTACTGAGTCTACCGAGCACCTTATTTTTGAGTGCAGGAGGTTTGACATCCTTAGACAATCTTTCAGTATATTTAACCTGTATAACAATCTATATGAAATTTTTCGTGCTGGTAACTTTAGGCATTTGAAGCAACTGACTGCCTTTATCAAATCAGCTGAGTTTTCATTCTAATTTTATTATTATTATTATTATTATTTTAATTTTAGACTAATGAATTGAATTATTAGACTAAAAAAAGAGACATTCTAATTTTACATTTAGTATTTCTATTACAATCACGAATCGCCTACACTTTTTCTTTTATCGGCATTATTAGCCGGATCTTGACAGTACAGTACCAAGTACGGTGATTTATGGATTGACAGCGGAACAGAGCCTCTCATTGCGAACACTCTGCCACATCAGTCTACCTATGCTTAAATTTTTTCATCAATCGCTCTCAACTTCGTTTCTGGATTATGGATCTAACATTAACTTAACTGGTCCAATCCATCTCTAAACAAAAAAAAAAAAAAAAAAGAAAAAAAAGTAGCTTTTTTCGAGTGTTCCGAAAGCCATCATGGAAATGTGAAAAGAAATAACAATAAATGAAAAGTAAGTAGCCGGATAGGCGGTATCAGCATGACTTCGGCAGCAAAAATTGGCCTAATACGCATCCATACAACACATATGCACATGCAGAAAGTTAATTACAAGTAAAGCAGCATTTTTCAACCAACTACTCACAAAGAAAGACGGGCAAGTTTTTGCTTTGGTGACATTTGAGTTTGATCCTCAGTCTTCAGACCAATAATTGGTACACAAGCGCTAGTTGTTGTTGTTGTTGTGGTGCCACCAACGCCATTGTCCGGATATAAAGAAGTATTATTCGACGTATTGTTCGACGTAACGTAAATTGAATTTGTGAATCTATTGATGCCGGTGTTGCCGCTACTGCTATGACTACTAACGGTCGCAGCAACTGCGATACTGGGGGAAGCTGTGACTGTCAGGGATGCGGATGTGCTCGGTGTTGTTATCGCTGCCGTTGACGATATGGTTATTGCAGCTGTCGATGTAGTTGATGTTGAAAATGACGACGTCGACGAAGAGGTGGAAATTTGCATTAGGGTTACGCTTGAGGTGGTAACGACTGTCGAACTTGCAGTAAGAGACGGCATTGTTACTAATGTTGTTGCTGTTGTTAGACTATTAGAATTAGGGAAACTATTGCTCGTGCTAGTACTATTTATGCTAGTGATGATGCTTGAGTTGCCACCAATTACAGGTTTTTGGTTTGTCAACGAAGCGGTAAATGATGCAGGCAATGTAGATAATGTGGGCAATTGCGGTTGCGGCAATTGAGGCGTTGACGTCGCTAATGGTTGCGCCGGTTGATGATGCTGCTGTGCTAAAATGATCGATGAATTCGGAAAGATTAAAGGCGGTGGACCGCCGACGACGCTACTGCTGCCGATATTGAAATTCTGTGAATTCAAGGTTGCTAAACTGGTCGCAGGGCTTTTTGCATTTTGTAATTTCTGTTGTTGCTGCTGTTGTTGTTGTAATATCTGTTGCTGCAGATGTTGCGTGAAATGTTTTTGTTGTAACATTGCCGGCATATTGCTAATGTTAATCATCTGTTGTTGCTGCGCTGACTGCAACAACGGCGATAACGATATTTGAAGGCTTTGAGCTGTTAGCGGCGGTGGTGCTGGATGCGGTAATTGCGGCGTTTGCGTTGGCGGTAACTGTTGCGTTTGTTGCATGGAAGTTACTATTGGTTGGCTTGGTTTTGATTTATTTGTAGTTTTAGTTTGCTGCTGCATCGTTGACGTTGTTGTAATAAGACTATTCGAGCTTGCGTTATTGTTATTTATGATATTAGCTGTGCTGCAAGTAAGGATGGATTGGCTGGATGGGATCAATTGTTGTTGTGGCGGTTGTTGCGTAGTTTTTTGTTGCTTTGCTTTATGCTGATTATGTTGTATGGGATAGATGTGTATTCTTTGGGTTGTTTGCTGTACGCTAGTGCTGGCACTGGAGCTCGTCGCATTGTTATTATTATTATTATTATTATTATTATTACTCGCATTAATGTTGTTTGGGGAATTTGAGTGGTTATTGGGTTGCACAACGTTTGCTGGTATAGTTGCATTACTATTAGTAATGCTTGACTTGCTATTATCCATTAGCACGGGTGGTTGCATTAGGGTAGTGAAATTCATTGGTCCACTCCCCGTTACTCCCGGGTTAGTAATGAATCCTTCGGGGGTTGGAATTTCTTTGCCTGATGCCAAAATGCTTTGTTGTTCCACAAAGAGTCGTTGCAGAGATGTATTTAGTTCGATTTCCGACATTGCCTTATTGAACGGAGCTATAATATTGGCATCGAATTCCGGTGGCAGAGGTAAGGAAGATACCATAGATTTGTGTTGCATTTTATATGTCAAATATTGTATTTGCATTTGGACCTGACGAAACATCTGTTGTTGTTGTGGAGTCAACTGTATAGTTTGTACTCGTGAAACCGTATGCTGAGGTTGAAATTGTTGCTGTTGCTGTGGAGGCGTTGTCGTTGAAGGAGACGATCCAGTTGATTGATTGATATTGTTTTGTTGTATAGACGTAAGTGATGGCGGACCGTTTTGCATGCTGCTATTTATGTTGTTCATACTGTTCGAACTGGTCGACGAAGTTATAGTGGTTGATATCGAAGAAATCGACGAGAATCCGAGTCCAAAAACATTTCCATTACTTCCCTGAGGACGTAGCATATTTAAAGAATTTTGCTGTTGTTGCTGTTGTGCCATGTTATTCGATTGGGTTTGCTGTTGCATAGGAGCTGTAACACCCACTAATTTCGTTCCATTTGCAATTTGTGTTGTTTGAAATGGTGGTACGCTAGCTATGTTGCTTATATTGCTCGTGCTGGTCGTGTTGGTAACATTCGTAGATGTAGGCGTTAAGCAAGAATTACTTGTTACCGGCTTGCCGCTGGCTGTGTTAGGCTGCACAATCTGTATGGGATTATTATTTGGCTTTTGCGACAAAGGGTCCAATTTGGGTAAAGGTTTGACAACGGTGGCATTTTTCATTAGTGCTACATCTGCGGCTGTTGTGGTAGAAGCTTTTGGTTTCCTTACTGGCTTTTTTTTTTGCACAGTACTAGTATTAGCATTTGTTGCTCCAATTAACGTATTCTGTTTATTATCCTGCTTGACAGCCTTGCTTTGATCAATTATGGGAGCTACGTTGGCCACTTGCTTAGTGGTGACAGTAGTGGCCGTAGTCATAGCTACATTAGTTTGATTTGTTAAAGAGGTAATAGTGGCACTTGCACCTGCGGTGGTGTTCATAGAAGTGGTAATTGTGGGTACACTACTCGCACTGCTCGCCAGGGGATGTACAATTTGCTGTTTTGGTTGTTGATTGTTAAGCGATTGCGTTACCATGGTAGTTGATGGCTGATTTTGAGCTGTTGGAGGATTTACGTCGTTAAAATGTATCTGGCCCTGTTGAAGACATTGAGCTAACTGTTGCGCATTTATACCTGCTGGTGCTATTAGCAGTCGTTCGGTGGGTGCTATCGAAGCTGTTGTTTGATTTGGGCTTATCGGGGTGATCTGGTTGTTAAGTGTGTTAAGGCAAAATAATTGCTGAGAATTTGGATCAATTTTCGGCAGGGCAACATAACGTTGCTGTTGCGATAGGCCTGAACTGTTTGCTGATCCCACTGTCATTGAACCGAGGTCAGGTGATTTTTTCAACGCTTGCTTGGACGAAGATGAAAAATCACCGTTATTTGTGTTAACATTCTGTTTTTGTGTTGTCACTTTTTTTGTTTGTTTACTAACAGTTCCTAAAGTGCTAGTCGTTGTTGTGGAGCAACTTGTACTTGCACTCGATATATTCGGTTGCGGCGTAGTAGGTATTTGTAGTGGTATCTTGTTAATACCTTCCACTTTTGACGGTTCATTGATAATGGTGACATTCGCTATAGCACCAGTTAATAATGCCCGTCGAATTGTGTGCGACTGCTCATCGGGAGGCTGGGAGGGATCATGTCTTAAGATTAGCCTTTCGCATTGTTCTGACACAGCGAGAGTAAGGCTGCCCGTTAATTGCGGTAATAAAGCGGCTATCGTTGCTGGCGAGCACACCGATAGGTTAACGTTTGCCGCCATTCCAGACAATTGAGATGAGACTGGCGTCATAGCAGCTGTAGGAATTGTTGCAGTTAGATTAGTGGGGGTGTGATTGATTTGCTGCGGTATTGAAAGAGTAGGAGTTGTGAACGTTGTTGACGAATTTGAGATCGAGATGGCCGGGGATGAACCGCTATTAGAGGTTTGAGGTAAAGCTACCAAATGCATTTGCTTTGTTTGGTTGTCCCCCAACGTTGTGCCAGTTGTTGCGACATTATGCGCTTGCATACCTGAATTTTGCAAAACAATTTGCTGCTGAGATTGAACAGGCAATTGAGCTGTGGTAGTTGTAGTAGTTGCACCTATTTTCTCTATTATTGGCATGATTTGTATTTTATTATCAACAACGGTTCCTAGAGATGTGTTCAACATATTATTGGTATTCTGCGCCAATCGATTGGCATCAATTTGAGAGATCTGTATATTGCCAATGTGACTAGGTACTAGAGCAGCTGTGGACAATGGCGCATTAATTGTATTGCTATTTGCACTATTGTTTAAACTAGCTAAGGTTGTTGAGTTTGTTTGATTAATATTGGAAGTAATGGACGTGGAAGTATTCTGCAATGCTATCGATGTGGAAGGTGGTGTGTGGATTAAATTTACATTATTCGTTTCTTGCTTTTTGTTGTTACGTTTAGCTGCTGGCTTTCGACGTGGTTTAACAGTAGCTGTAGTAGTAGTAGTAGTTGTCGTAGCAGTTGCCGTCACAGTTGCCGGCGTGGTTGCAGTTACAGCGTTAGTGGCAGAAAAAGTTGACGTTGAAATTCTTCCCGCCATGCTTGTTATAATGTTATTATGAATGGAGCCGGTCGTTGGAAAGCTTGTTGATGTCATAGAACTAATCTGACCAAGTGGCAGAGAAAAGTTTATACTTGTGGGTACATGGGGTAATGTGGGTTTAATTTGTTGACTCATTGTTGCCATCTGTTGAGCTTGAGCATTTATCTCTTCGGCGGTGGGCAAAGATGGTATGCTAATTGAATACGGTGCCGTACCAGAAGCAGAGGAGCTTAGGCCTGAGTCGCCAGCATCAATTTTAATCACTATATTTGTCGCAGGCCCTGGAACATTCGATTCTCCGGTCATGGCTGTTGCTGACGTGGCCGGTATCGTTAATGTGTACGGTAACGTCCCTGAATGATTTTCCGTTTGAGGTAAAGATATGGAAATTTCTGCGTTGTTGTTACCGTTGTCTGGATGCTGCGCTATTTCTCCGCTAGATGCTGACACGGCGCACGCTTCCATACTATAATCTTCGTCGTCATCGTCTTCCATAATACCGCACAATTTCATGACATTTCCGAGATCAAGCTTACCGTTGCTGGCCCGAGTTATTTGTGGTGGAGGAGAAGGTGACTTAGCCGGTTGCTGTTGTACTTGTGCGATTTGATTACTTAATAAATTCATTTGCATTTGAGATTCTTGTTGAACGGTGGTTGCGTTTCCATACGGTTGGCTATGATTTGTTGTTGTTACTGTCGTTAGAGTTGCATTGGCTGTTATCGAATTAGGAACCGTTACGTTACTATTGCTAGTTGTTATCGTTGTAGGTATAGCTATAGCGCTTGATGTAGTTGTATTTAATGGTCTATTGGCTGTGGCGGTAAAAGTTTTAACTACAGCGGCCGTCGTAGGAGTAGAATTGACAGAATTAATCGCGGTAGGATTGCTAGCCGCTGCATTTTGTACACTACTTGTTCCGGGTTGCTTCTTTTTACGTGGTCGTGGTTTTTTCTTGGTTGGTTCTGACGGCGGTTGCTGTTGTTGAAGTTGAACTTGTTTTTGCGCTTGTTGAACTTGATTTTGCGTTTGCTGTATTTGCTGCTGCAACTGTTGAATTTGCGCTTGTTGTTGCTGTTGTTGTTGTTGTTGTAACTGTATGGTGGCTGCTGCATTTAGACTTAATTGTATTTGCGCTCCGCTCACTTGCTGAGGACTGGCGGGAATACTTTGAAGCACGGATGCAGGCTGCCTCATCGGTTCCGATGTTACGGCGATAGATGATGGACCTGGTGATTGTGTTAGACTTGTCAGGCCCGCAGCGGGACTTTGGCCATTGAAGAGATCAGTTGAAGTACTGGAGTTAGATGAAACCGCATTAGCATTACTTCCGCTTGTAGGTGCTGGCGATTGTGTTGGAACGCCTGGGGTTTGAAAGGTAGCTCCTGCAGCGGCAGCTGCAGCAGCCAATTGATGAATATTGGTTCCATTCAATTGATTGAGATTAATCAAACTACTTGTGGTACCCTGCTGGAAATTTGCAGCTGGGAGTTGAGATAGTAGTGTTGGACCGGTAGAAGCATTAAGACCATTCGGCATTTGAATTTGTGCTGTGATACCGCTACCGTTGGCTGCTGCTGCTGCTGCTAATTGAAGATTCTGTAATTGAGCTGCCATACTAGGACCTAAAAGATGGCCATTAATTGTCGCTGCTGTGGTAGCGAATTGTTGAGATCGTGGCTGGGTATTAGCGGCAGCGGCAGCGGAAAGGGCAGCATGTAAGCCACTAATTTGCGTAATTGCAGGCGTTTGAGGATTTGTCTTAATTGTTTGCAGATTTGTGGCTTGCTGTATAAGATTGGCTTGGGAGGACACAATGAAGGTGGGAGTAGCGGCTGCCAATTGCATAGTAGCACCATTTGTACCAAGTATACGCAATAATTGTTGTGGTTGTTGTTGTGCTTGCAATTGTGGTTGAGGTCGTGTATTTTGAATAACTAGTGATGGCGTTGCTGTTAGTTGCGGTGTAGGCGGCCTTAAAATCAATTGAACGCCTTGAGGTGTGTTTTGTTGCACCAACACTGGCACTTGATTAAGCAGTAATGGCTGCTGGGTGGCTGTAAGACTAGCAGTAGCTCCAGAAGGTAAGAGAATTTGTTGCTGTGTCGTCTGCTGCGTTGGCTGAGGCGACTGTGAGATCTGTGGCAAATGTTGCGACATGTTAGTACTTGTGTTAATCGCACTGTTATTGTTGTTGCTGTTATTGTTATTGGAACTGTTTGTCGAATTTTTGGTCTTTTGATGTTGCTGATTTGGATTATGTACTTGAGTGGCTGTCGTTGGTTGCAATGATTGCTGTAACTGCGATATATTTTCTAAATGTATTTGTGATTGAAATTGCGGCTGATTAGGTTTCGGTAATATTTGCTGAGGGACTTTGGTGGATTTACCGTTCTGGTTTGAGGTTGCCGTGTTTGTATTGGCGAAACGTTGCTGCTGTTGTTGCGTTGCAGCAGCGATTATTTGGCCCTGAGGACCCTGAATCAACTGAAAGGTCTGCTGAGGACCATTAGACGGTGAATTAGTTGACAAGGTGAATTGTTGTTGCAACATTTGCATTGGTTGTGGTGTGGGCGGTTTGATGGTGGCAGCAGTTATTGTATTACTTGGACTTGGTGAGGGACTATCAGCTATTAATGGACTATTGCTATGATATTGCTGAAAATTTGATTGCTGTGATTGTAGCGTTTGTTGCTGATTTGTGGATAATACTGCAGCGGTAGTTGCGGTGGCGTTGGCGGGACCATTGGGAACACATTTTTTCGTTTGACTTTTTGGGCTACAAGCCACAGTTCCTGTCGCAAACGTATGCGGCGTATTGTTAATTGTTGAGGCGTGTAATTGCCCATAGCCGCCAGCTATAGCGCTAGTTGCTGAATTAGTATTGTAATGACCTGAATTATTACTGTTGTTGCTATTGTTATTAAATATTTGGTGATGTTGTAAATGCTGGTGCTGTTGGCGTTTGGTGCCCTTCTACAGTTTGAATAATTAAATTTAATGATTAACTTGACTTCTTTCAAAATATTTTCAAAATTTTACCTTGTTTAACTGAATATTATTGGAGCCCACTAACGTAGCGTTTAATTCATGGCCAGTTGTCGATGTTGTTGTCGTTGCTCCAGAACTTGTTAAACCTGTAATCACATTTATGCTACCAGCGGTCACGCCCACAACACTGGTGGCAGCTGCAGGAGATTGTGAGGGGCTAGGTTGGAAGACCACAGTACCCGCATTCGGACTACCATTAGTAAATTGATGTATAGATTGTCTACGACCTGGTGTTACGGTTTTACGTTCCTATAGCAAAAAAAAAAAAGAAGTAAATAAAATAAAGAAATATCAAAAATAAACTCAAATCTATTCTAGGTGTTAAGTGTAACCCCATTTTGCTTATTTCTTTATTAATTACCTGTTCATGTGTGCTTGCATTTGTTAGAGGATTACCCGTTACTAGAAGTACATCTTGTGGAAATGGTGACAGCGAAGGTGACGGTTGTAAACGTGGACTAGCTGAGATCGATGGTGATGGACTGGGCGTTAGAAACGGACCCGGAGGAGACAATATTCCTAAAAATTAAATTAGTTTACGATTAACATTGTTTCTAAAACTTTAATTTTAACAAGAATGAAATAAATTTGATTCCGGGGCCGAAAAATGTATATCCATAATATGCAACAAAAGCTCAGATCTGGGTGTTTACGTCCAAATTTTTCTTTAAAGCAAATTTCTTAGATTTTTAACTTCTGTCAATTTTAAATTGCAGTCTTTTGCTTACTGAGAGGAGGGTAATTACGTTTCTCAAACCTTCAGTAAAGGGGATTACGAGGGGAACACGGTAAGAAAAAAAATGTTTTCTTTAAAATTTCTCTCTTCCCGATTTTCCGGAACAAGAACAGCGCCACGAAGTAATTTCGTAACATTTTGCCGTTCATTTCTAACCCATTAATAGGTGTCTTTGACAATTTTCATTACATTAGTATACCTTTAGCCACAAATAATCGCTGAGAATATGGGAGAGTGAAAGTGGGAGATTTATTTGTTTTTCTTTTCTGCCGTGAAGCGTAAAAGGTCTCATCTCTATTTTTGCAAACATGAAAATTCCTCCTTTGATGAGTACATGTAAAGTTGTTACGATTATTATAAGAAAATGCAGAAAAAATTTTAAGATATAGCAGAACTGCGCAATGAATTTTCACAGATTTTAATTAGCCGAAACAGTCGCTGACTGTACGTGAGAAACTTTGCGACATTTTAGACTTGTACGACTGCGACAGTTTTCATATTTGTGAAGGAAAGTGGGCTCCAGTATGCGGGACATTAAATAAAAATTTTTTACAAAATATTAAATTTAAGTAAAACTTCAAAAAGCGTTGTAATTACTATTTCTTCTGCGTACATCTTCTACTTACAACTCTGCGCATATATTGTTTTATGTAAAATATTTACTTATACACAAGCGCTTATATATTAAGTGGTTTCTGCTTGAAGAATTTGAAAAAAAAATTTTCAAAAAATTTCGGAAACATAAGTAACAAAATTAAATTCGGTCGGAATCGAATCTTTTATATCCATCACCGTTATCCTAAAAAAGATAAAAGAAATAAAAGAAAAAAATTTCGATAGGTAGGGTGCGCAGCTATTTTCAGTGTTTTCCGTATAAACGTGTGGCCGTTGCAGGCGCGTCTTTTGAAAAGTTTAGGTCAAATCCAAATTCTTTTGCAAATTCGTAGGTGATGTCTTTATTTTGGTTACGGGAGGATTTTCGCTACAAACACTACAAAGTTGCGTAGACAGACAGGTGGAGAAGGATATGTTTAGGTGCATTCTAAATTTAAAACCAAGGATTTATATACTTTATGGTATTTTTGAAACTTCTCCCTGCGTCCTATAAGCGGATTGAAAAAAATTAAAATTTGATACACTGTAACATTAAAAATACGTGGTCAAGTTTTTCCATTTGTGGACAGGTGGTACAGCACCGCCCATAGAGTATGCGTTCAAATTTTTGTACACTTATCTGCTATAGTTTATGAGTAATGAACAAAAAACCAATTTTTTATTCCTTTTGAAAAACAGAAGTGCTGTCAGTTTACGTGGTGCTTTGGGCGTGTCCTTCGACCGATTTGGCCCACTTTCAGTACTAACCTGCGTGCAAGAACTTCCCATGTTTTCGCCAAATTTGAGAGCTTCAATTAAGCGGCCAGAAGAATGTTTACAACAGACATTACGCGGGCGGGCAGATGGACAGACGGACATGTTTAAATTGATTTAGAATTTGATGCTGATCAAAAATATATATATATATATTTTGTGAAATCTCTAAAGCTTCCTTCTAGGTGTCGTTAACGTTTTGACAAAATGACTGTACTTCTTAGCGTACGGTGATGGGTATAAAAAATGTGTTATTGGACAAGCTATGTATGTGCGTATATGCATTTAAGAAGTGTGCGCGTTCTTTACGAGTAGGTGGTCTCTTCTAGTGCCTGGCTTATTTACCATTTAGTGTTTATTTATTTATGCGTTTATGCGTTATAATAAAAGCCAAATTAGAAAATATCCAAGTTTTTTGAAAATACTAAAGGCAAGGCGGCGGGCGTGATAAGTAACGAGAACATAAAAATGTCTGCTGTATGTAATGAAAAGAAAATACTTTTGTTCGTTGTATGCATGAAAAGAAAATATAACTTTTTTTTTTCTTTCTTTCTTTCTTTGTAGAGGATAATAACAAGAAAAGTCTTACCACACATTGTCGTATATATTTATATTACCCTATATTTTCTAGAGATTAACAGCCACATATAAAGTTTGCCTTTTTGTTTATGTTAATATCGAAGAACCCACAAATTATATAAAAGTGTCTAGTAAGTGAAAAATGTTTAAAATTATATTCGTTTGTGGCCCTTAACATTCGACATCGTTTTTGAAAGCATCATAAAGAAAAACAAGTAAGAAAATTACGTTCGGTCGCGACCGAATCTTTTATATCCATCATCGTTTACCTTGACAAAGGACAAACAAAAGAAGTAAAAGAACAAAATTCTCATCCTCTATAATGTGGATCGGATGCGTTTGATTTCTTCTCTTTCCAAAATAAAAGTTTTTATTGCAGAGGCATGTGGGCGTTGTAGGCGTATCCTTTGAAAAGTTTAGCTCAATTTCAATTTCTTTCGTAAATTTTTCGCTAACGGGCCAATGTTTACCCCAAATACTATAAAGTTACGCCAGCAGACAGATGGACAGACATTTTTAGGTGCATTCAATCAATAGTTGTAAGTGGCAAAGAACTAAAAAATATTTTCCGTTTTTTAATATGGACCGTGTAGACTTTCAAATCTAATTATATCCTAATTTTAATTATTTAACAGAGCGCTGGGGCTAAAGCATTTACAGAGTTATGTTAACCGATATGGTAGGTGGTGGGCTTTCCTAGTTAAATTCGAATTTCTCTGGGATGATATGCATACTTGCGCACAAACAAAAAAAACATTGAAATCCATACATTATTCAGCTATAATTAACAATCACTTTTTTCCTAATCACTTATCGAGTGGTGGTGGCAAACAGACATGTTTGTTTACAATGCAAAAGATGATGAAAGCATCTAATGGTGCAGACATATGATATTAACGTAGAGCAAACAAAGGATCATAGTCACTTTTGAATTAACACGTTTTCGCTTCTCCTTGATGTAAAGGATTATAAAAATTTATAAAATATTATACCTAAACAACAAAAATCCAGTTTGATATAAAAAAAAAAAAATAAAAAAATAAAAAAAATCCCAAAAATTTTAAAAGCCTATGCATAAAAAATGTTTTATGACAATATTTGTGATGATTTTCCACTTCATAAATAAGGGCTCGACGACACATATGCTCGTCATAACGAGCACGTGTTCGATTTTTTTGCGCTAAAGATAGATAGATAAGCTATAGTTTTTTTCAAGTTTTGTTTATTTTGTTTAACACTTAAATCATCTCATTGAGAGCTTTTAACATATCAAATTTATATTCCGGGCAAAGTATTAATAATAAAGTTTAGTTACGATATTCTCTAATGTGTTATTTTCATAAATTAGACTTGACTTTAGTGTAATGAAATTTAATACACAAAGGGAAAATTTTTAATATTAAGTTTAATTAAAATAACATATGAGAAACTCGCTTGCGTTCAGAGTAGAATATGTTGTTCATGGAGAAACGGTAAAAGAAAAAATGACTTCTCCCGATCAAAATGGAGAAGATATTCGTTGATTATTACCATCCACAACGCTACATAAAATCACTGAGTCACGTTCATATTTAAATTTCATTGTAGTTATATAACACTCACGTTCGACTTTATACAAGTTTCATACGTTGACTGATAGATAAGACGTCCAGCTTATTTGACGCTTCTCTTGTTTTAAGTTTCAGTTAACTCAACACAGTTCGACAGACTACACTTGGGATAACTAAAACCTTTGTTCAATAATAGCAGCCCAATTTTTATTTATAATGATGGAGACAATTGAAAGCATTTTCGGAAGCGAACATTACCATTTCATCAAAAAGTATGCGATAATCTGAGAAAATATCTTGAGAATAATTTTTATGGTTGAAAAGATCATTTTTGTATTAACGAAAAATACTATTACGAGATATATAAAAGGTCTCGGTATAATCAATATCAATGCCGAGCTAGATTACGTTCATGAGGAGTCTGTCCGCCCCTTTCAAGTAATAAAACATTGGATTGGCTGAGCAAGGAAAATCGACTTCCAAGACGGTGACATTGAAAGATTTAGTATTAATCAGTTTTAGTTAGACGATGACGAGCCTTGTCGACAACGTTAGCTTTATCGAATGCTTGCAAAATAATTTTCATTGATTATTATTTTTAAAATGAAGAGAGAAGAAAGAGAGGAATCGACCACCAAGAAGATTCAATATTAACAAGTTTTATTTAGGTGATAATGAGCTTTTTCGAAAACGTTAGATGCTTGGAATGGTCGCAAAATAATTATCATTGATTATCTTCAAAATAAAAAGAAGCAACGAAGGCCTACAACTTACTGTAGCGTTTGTGTATTGAATTCAAGAAAAACACCTATGTCTGATGAAGAGGAAAGTGTGTTCTCATCAAGACAATGTAATCAGTTCACGGATTTGTTATCGCGATGGCAAGAATCAAAAAGTCAAAGCCTACATGCGTCCTTGGAGAATTTCGTGAGAAAAAATTCTCGCCATTGAAGTAAGTTTCAACAAAGAAGTGGTGCTGCCGTCTGTTTTTGATGCCCACCACTTTGAACAACTTGACAGTGATTAATACAAAAAGTGTATCGAAAGTGTATTGAAAGTCGCTGGGAAATTGTGCCGAGCTACAAGAAGTCCATTTTGACATTATTTTCAGGCGTCGTCTAAAGGCATTTGAAGAATATGTTACTGAAACAAATTGTTAAAACTCATGCGGCTATTTCTGAGAGTTTTCTTGTTTAGTATTCGTTAAAGGTCGCTGAGAATTATGAAATAGCTCTTCTTGGACTTTTTTTTTATATTATTTTATGCCCATCATAAGTGCATGTCGT